AACACTAAATCCAGCCAGCTCGTGGAAGAGTGCACCGTCGGCACCACACCCCGAATCGTCATTCGTGGCCGTCACAAAGTGGGTACGAGGCAATGGCATTGGGAAGAGGGAAGAGGGAGAAAAAGTCCGTGCAGGATCGCAGCCACTCAATCTCTTTATCGCGCTTAAGAGGCTGCTGCACAGGCGACGGAAGTTTCAGACACAACCCAAAAGCCATCGACAGTTCAGGGATCACGAAGATCATATAACGTCAGGCGGCCATGGTTGGCACAGTTGCAAGCGCACAACGGATGATGATTCGAGGTTGAGAAGGGAAAGCAGCGTCTGAACACAGAGGGGTGCGGTCAAATCAGAAGCACGGAGAAAGGGTTCAAAATGGAGGAGAGGCGGGGGCAAAAGAGCTGAGCTGAAAACCCCATCTATAGTGAAGAATGATATAGCACTATAGCACTGCACTATCGCACCGAGAGTGAGATCGGATAAAGTGAGATCTTGGGAGTCCGAGACCCGCGGGCGCACGCACGCACGCACGCACGTTTGAGACGGAGCCTATGAGTAGCCGGGATTTGCCCTGTCGCCGAGCCCTGTTCCTGCCGCCATCACGCAAAGCCCAGACTCTCCCTCACTGATTGGTTTGCATGGGAAGCCAATTGACCGTTTGGATGCTGGAGGAAACAGTGGATTTGCTGGGCCATTTTCAAGGGGACGGACGCACAACGCACAGGCGAAGGCTCCCTTCCCTGTCCCTCGTCGTTGGCATCAACGCTTCGTGCTCTTATCGCATGATCGCCCCAGGTTGAGAAGCTGGCTGCTAAATCATTTTCCTGTCATGTCACTCCGCCTCGTTTGGACAACGATGGTCAAATGACATTGACGTACGCAATCCCTTGGTAGGGGTGAATGTGGCCAATGAGCACGAGAGATGCCAGCCGGAAAGTGGTCGCAGACGAGAATCAAATGGTGGGATTCGATATTGACAATAGCGAGAAATCCTGCGAGAAATCCTTGCTGGCCGAGAATAAGCCCGTTTTTGCCTCCCCCCGCGTATTCTCATTAGACTGTCATCCGCTGGTTTGGTGGCTTCATTGTCTCCGTAAATACGTATCACAAATGAGATGTAAGCAGCGGGGGAAGAAATTAGAAACGCAATCCTTTCAATACACCATGCACCCTGCACTGTATGTACGGTACTGTACCTGGCCAACGTGCTATAGTTCTTACTCTGGATTCGAGCCCTAGCAGGACCATTGGCATTAATTTGCATCCTTTAGGGTTCTTGGTGAATCCTGGGATGTTACAGAGGCATAACAGGCTCAGTCAGAAGTTTGTCAAGGATAAGAATCTCCGAATACGAGAAACTCGCTCTTGATGGCGAGTCCAAATCCTCGACCTGATCCTGTGTGTTTTGTCTCTCCATCCACTCTACTCCGGTACCTGCCGGGTTCTCCAACTGCAAGATATGCCTCACTCAGCAGTGACGTTGCCAGACTACTACTGCTGTTGCGGCACAGGTTGCGTTTTGCAGATGGCGATCATCTTTGCTTCTCAAAGTCTTGTCTTTTCAGGTAGTTGCAGATCCATTAGCGTCCCGGAGCCGTATACTAGTCGCTGCAACTGGTGCATATCGTAGACAAAAAGCAACGAGATCTGCCTGTTTCAAGGCAGAATCTTACAAGTCCGGGAACAGGTAGGTAGAGTACTCCGTAGTAGCAGCCTAATTGGCGTGGAAACGTCAAAAGTAGGAGTAATGATAATAATATGAAGGAGGGGTGGAAAAAGGGGTAAAGGAGAATCAAGATCCCGTCGGCAAGATTAACCGATAACCTCAACGCGAGCTTCGATGGAAACTTCCACGAACGGGCGTCAATGGCGTTTAGTCTAGCGTGTGCCACAGGCTCATAGCCGAACGGGAAGAATGCGAGCGGTGCCCGGGATGACGACACATTTCGCTGGTTTTTCTCGGTTGGCGAGGAATTGTGGACATGTTTTAACCTTAACCACGCGGGAAGGAAATTGGATGTGGATGAAATGCGGATGTGGATGTGGAATTGGCGATGGAAGGTGGTCAGTGTTGAAGACGTACTGTGTAGGCACCCGTCGCTGGTCGCCAAATATAGTCGTACTCCCCAGGTTGGCAGGGAGGTACTCCGTAGTGCCTGACGACTGCGACAGTCTACGTATCAGGTCCAAAGCCGGACGTGCTCTAGAAGTCATCGTGCAATTACATCGCTTGATGGGTGAGCAAAGTCGCAAACTGGCAAGGATGCGACAAGAAACACCACCAAAACAGGGATCGCCGCACGAGGTGACGGGCAGCATGAAGTGCCGTAAAACCGTGGGTGGAAAGAAAATGGGTTGCCGGCGACAACAAGACAGTAATAATAAGGTTAATCAATTGTTCTATCGCGAGCTTTCGGCACAAAGCTCAAAACTCAAAAAAATCCTATTCATCCGCAGGCCCATCCATCTACCGGGTTTTGCAGAGCACCAACACTTTGAAGATGATCGTCAGCTATTTGCCTCCACTATCTGCACCAAGACCGTGAAGGGGCTCTGTCAATCAATACTCAATCGCGCAAAAGCTCACTCAGGCTAAAAAGCCAGGGCTGACCTCCGTTGCCGGAATGAAAAAGGAAACACGATGTTGAGGGTGAAGGTTCGTACCGTGGAAACTCCCTCCGAGTTCAGTGTCGATCAGCAGCAGCGCGGCAGGTATTAGACGCGACCAGTACCGAACAGCGAAGATAGACATCCTACGCACGCTTACAGCTGAGCCAGCAGTAGCAGTAAGCAGTTAACATGACAAGTGATTTACCCCTTGCCTCGCACTGCGATGTCAATGGGCGCCATTTATACGAGACTCCCTTGGATGATTACGTAGGAGGGGTACATCGCGAAGGTGAGCATGTTGCTGCAGAGTCGTACGCGAGAGCCTTGTTCAGTCAACAATGGCCAATGCACATTGTGATGGGGAAAGATCTAGATCCCACAATGGGGGGGAAGGAGGAGACTAGCGAGCATAGAGCCATTAATATCCATGAATATTAGACTGCAAGAGAGAGACTGGGTCCAGCAGGCTAGTGTCACACATCTTACTTATTTGGGTTCCGACTGACGAAAATACTTTGTACGGTACGTTTACATGTACATGTTCTTGCAGCCTAGCTTTTTTAATAGAACATCTCGTAGTACTCACTGCTAACGATGCTAGGTTATTGTCTGCCAAAAGATCGCTCCAAACATGTTGTGGTGCGCAATGTAATGCTCGGTAGACGACCGCATGCTAACTTGACAGCGGCCACCATCTGTTTAGAGTTAGGGTGCACAGGGGCAATAAAAAGTCAAAACAACTCAGGCCGCACATTTCAATCTGACCGAGCGACCCGACCAGGATGGTTGATCAGCTCCTCCTATCGTGGGAAGTGGTTGCGTTAGCGGGAGGACAGGCTTCCATTCCCGGGTTAGTTTTACTCCAGCTCAAAGTTTAATGCCATGCAGCCATGCAGCCATGCAGCCATGCAGCCATGCAGCCATAATGCTGACAACCCCTGCCCGCATACGAGGAGGTCTGTAAGGTACGCGGTCGGTCGTGGTCACTTACCTGGTTAGTCGGAGGCATCTGAGTCGTACAGTACTCCGCACTGTTTGCCTGTCTGCCTGCCAGTGCTGTCTGCTGTCTTCAAGGTTGTCACTTGTGTCCTACAATGCTCGTCAAACCTAGCCAACCGAGGTGAATTGACACCTGGTCGGCAACCTTCCTCTGGTTCGGGAACGTAGCGAGAACCTGAATATTACCCCAAGGTTACATCCCATGGAGGGAACCGATTACTGATGATAAGGGGATCGATCCATGGAATGGACAAGGCTGGTGGTCACACTACATAATAGAATTGTTCGGGGAAGAGAAACCCGTCCAGGCGCGTCAAATGGCGAGGGAAACCCTGCTTCAGGTTGCCACTACAAACGGGATGGGAAGACTCTTTTAGAAGGAGACCGAAAATTGGAGCTAACCATGTGGGATGAGGTTCTTGGGTTCTTTAAGACTCAGAATCTCACGCACAGCGTGAAACTCGCTAGCAGCCATGTACCATACTTATGTACCATACTACGTAAGAGCAAGGTATTGATGACCGTCAGTCATGTACCCATGAGGTACAGCCCACGTTCTGTCTCCGATCCTTGGGTGTCGGTGGGTCGTGTCGACACTTGGCCTGCCCAATAATGCAGAGCATTGGTTTATACCCATGCAGAAGGCTGCAGGTGAATTAACCCAACCGGGCTTAGGGCTCCTTGACACATTGTTCTCCGCCGATGGCATCTTACCCTCTCTCGCTCTCTCGAAGTCTCGCTCTCTCCTCGAAAAAAAAACCCCGCTTTTACCAGGCGGTGCTGTGCCCTACCGATACTACTACTGAATGGCTACACTGACCCTTTCTTCGTCTAATTCCTTCCATCAATATTCATGCACCTCGACGGTCGATTGGAATCCCCGACGGAGCGTGGAACTTTACTTCCTTCCCTGGCGTTGTCGCAGCAAGCCTGTCGGTGCAATGCACTGCACCGACTCCACCTTTCCATCGTGCCCCTGAGGTTAAGCTCGGCGCAATGAGGGAAATCGACTGGAAAAGTGGGATTTCCACACGGACCCTTTTCAAAAAAGTATGAGTAACTGAGTAACCAAGATGTGCAAGAGGCAACTCGAGGTGTGCCCCAACCGAATCTCTGGATCCTGGTGGCACCCCCGGGACGGTCCCATACTCTAGTCTCCCAGCGCGCATCGTTTAATCGAAAGTAGTATATCTGATCGTCTCCCCCCTCCTTCCCCCCCCATGTCCGTTCGCTCTCACTTGCACACACACACACTCTCTCTCTCTCTCTCGATCTGCCCGGTGTCCACATGCAGTGACTTAATCCTGATCGATCGATTGTGCTCCGTGAATGCACGGCTGTGAATCTCTTGTGGAGAGGTATCACGTCGGGAGTTGCTGTTGCTTGGTAACCCTATTAATCTCGCCCACCCAAAGGACATGACAATCTCGCCACCACCTGCCTCCATTGAGATCGACGAGTACACTTGACATTGGCCCTTGCACGCACATCATGAGCAATACGACACTAAACGGATTATGTCCGGCTCCTTTCTACCAGGAGTCATTCTTCCCGTCAACCGGTGGATGTATGTTTTTCTCCGGTCCATCCCCGTGTGCGACGCTGACGATGCGCTTTCTCTTCAGTCATTGACGGACGTTACTGTGAAACATTAAGCACGGCTCAGGGCAACGTCTCTTGCTGCCTGCCATGCCCATTGTCATCATGGACATACGGTGATGGTATGCATATCTGTCGAAGATATGAGGGAACAACCGCTAATCACGCACGGGCTATCTAGACATGACCAACAAGACCCAGGCCGCCGGCTGGCTTGGGGTTGCCATCCTGCCTCTTTGTATCTTTCTCTTAGTATCATATGCGGTCCTGCCTCCCAAATGGACGAATCGTCACTATTTGAGCATATGTTTCACACTGGGAATCTGCTGCATCGAGGTAAGTGCGCAGGCACGCGAGCAGTTACGGGAACGGGACGATGTTGACCGACCTCGCAGATTGCTTTCATCATCCCTCTAGGGATTAAACCGGAGCAGTGTTTCAACGCCATTACGCCGAACGATATGTACTCGGATGTCGCGTGTGCTTTCACTGGCTCGTTACTTCTGTTCGGCGGCTGGGTAGCCGTGTCGTGGAGTATGTATCTCTTTTTCTCGGTCAATTGTCCGCTCCAGCATTAACCCAGTCGCGCAGGTTTCATTCGTACTTTGGCTTTCCACCTTCAGGTTTGTTGGGAGGTCATGCTGGGGACGAAGTTCATGTGGGGCGCCTTCATCTTTGGCTGGGGCATCCCGATCATCGGGTTGACTGTCATGCTGTGCTTGACGGGGGTGTCCTACCGATTCGGAGGGACCTGTCATATCAACGTGCACAACAGCAACCGGGACTACTGGGCTCCCGTGGTGGCCTTCGCGGCGGCAGCATTGGTCCTGCAGTTGGCCACGATGCTGTACTGCATCCACGTCTACGTCAAATCGGTCTTCGACAAGAACCCCACGACCAACAGCTCGGGTCTGCCGTCCTACAGCGCCAGCGTGCGCACCATGACCGCCCGGCAGGCCTACCGCCGCGTCCGCCGCGTCATCCAGCTGCAGTGGCGCAGTGTCACCCTGATCCTGATCATCATCGGCAACGTCATCTTCTTCGCGGTGGTCTTCATCGAGATGGACAACAAACTGGCCATGACGCCCGCCAACGCCGAGCTGTTCCTCCCATGGGTGGCATGCCTGGTCGCCACGGAGGGCGACAAGCAGAAGTGTTTCTCCGAGGTGAAGCACGTGCTGCCCAACCAGGCCACCCTCCTGGCGGTGCTCATTCTGTTGTCACTGGTCGGCTTCTGGAATTTCATCCTGTTCGCGCGACCGTCGATGTTTTTGGGATGGGCCGACCTCTTCAAGACGAAAGTCTCGCATCCCAACGAGTTCGTCTCCGCGGACGCCCGCCGCACGCCGGACTCGCGCGCCTACGAGATGCTCGACAGCTCCGGGGCGCCGCCGCCCGCCTTCAAGACGCCGGAGCCGGTGATTCGATCGCCCAGCCCGGCGCGCACCTCGGGGGCCCGCAGCCCCGAGCACGACGGCTACGGCCAGGAGGCGCGATACGTGAGCCCGACGATGAGCTTCTCGTCGCCTCGGCCGCCGAGCGCGTCGCAGGCCCACGGACGCGAGTGGGATCCGCAAGCGACCTTTGCGCCGGCACACCCACGTCACGGATCCCAGTGACGCTAATTTTCTTGAAGCATGGAGCAGGAGCATGGGGCATTTGTCTGGATTTTCTTTTTTGGGTGAACATCGGAGCATTGCGGCAAGAGAAAAGAAAAAAAGTGCTGATGTGATATTTTGTACGAACTGCATATGTTTTTCACGGCTGTACCTATACCCTGGATGATTCTTTGGTTGTTAACCTATACTATACTATGTTGTCGAACACATCTTTCTACTTTGTACATTCTCTCCTACCCTTTTAATCAGAAGTAAGACTCCTCCCCGAGAAAACCAGAAGAGAAGTAAGATTCCCTCCGTCCGATACACCACGCCCACGCCCACGCCCACGCCGCCGAACTACCCGAACCAGTCAGCCATCCAGCCAGCCAAGCGAGACAGAAAGAGGGGGAAAAGAGAAATCCTCCAAGTTCCAATCTTCCCATCATCCATCATATCTCTTGACTCGAACGAATATCCCCTGCCCCCCAAACTTTAATAAAGCATACACAGGAGTGTGCCAGGTGGGAATTCACTCCCCATTCCCCCATTTTCCTCCGTAACCTAACTTACCGGTACAGTACACTAAATACTAAGTTGACTAACGCTAACGCTAACGCTAACGGGTATCTTTCCCCCGCGCCCGGCGCGCCGCAGGAACAATTCAATTCCTTTGGCCTCGCAGCTCGCTTATCCTTGGCCGTGTAGTTGCGTTGCGTGGGAAAGCCCCCCTCTTCGGCCCTTCCGGTGCCAGTGGAAATTAGATTGAGTTTTGAGGGGGGGCCCAGATTTCCCCGCTGCTGTCGCTGTCGCTGTCGCTGTCGCCGTCGCCGTCGTCTGCTTTATCGGACTTGAGTTGATTTGGTTCGGGCTTGGTGTAGGGTGTAGCGTGTAGGGTGTAGGGTGCATGGTGCATGGTGCATGGGGTGTACGACCGTTGCAGGTGCGGACGCAGGCTTGCGTGCATGCATGTATGCATGGGCGTTGGGAAGGCTTTGCTTGTTTGTGAGTGTGGTGTGTGTGTGTGTGTTTGCTTGGGTTGGGAAGGGTTGCTGGGTTTACGGTGTTTCATTGGTGTAGTAGTCACTAGAGGTGGTTCGATTTCTTAGGGTAGGTGGGTGAGCGATAATTCTCCGAGAATGACTTTGTTCTTGGGAGGAAAGTTTTGGCTGTGTGGCTTGGTCTGGGGTAATTTGTAGAGTCTGTGGTACCTGTACTAGATCAGTCTTCCTTTGGATGAGGGGTGACTGACTGTCTACCGATGCATGATATAGTGCTGGGGCTGGGGCTAGTGATTCGCCACAATGATTACAGTACAGTCGTTGTTGTTGGACTGGGTAGGACAATTGTGTTCTGTTTTGTGAGGCCAAGGACTGTATGTTACTTCGAGTACTGCTGTACATGCAGATTAACATGGGAGGGAGGGATGAGTGGCTTGTCTTAGTATTTGTGGTTCAGGGCTCCTCCGCGCGATCGCGTGCTGTGATCTGTACTGTGCAAGTTATAGAGTTCGGGCTACGGAGTACGCCGTTGCATGCCCGTTGGGTAAGGGGTATGTGACCCGGGCCTGGGACTTGTCTGTTTGTGATGGAGGTTCTGTTGGGGTCTTGGGGTGGCAACTAATTATGTTACCAGGGACTCGAGGCTATATATGCATTGTCTCCTATCGTACCTGGTTATAGCACTGAGTATATGATTCATTGTTTCCTGAGACAATTATCCAGGTATATTTCGCTGAAGAATTCAACCATCTATGGGATGTAAATCCGAGGGCAAGGAGAGTATTGGTGCCATTGTCCGATTTTATTTCAATGTATAGTCCCAGTGCATACCTTGTCATGGGATGAACAATAAAGAAGCCCTTTAGGTCTATTCATATGGCTTTGTACTAAATCTCTGTACCTACCTCATGCAGGAGCACAAGCCGAGTCGAGTCACCTCATTGAGGTGATATACGTAGTGATAGGTACGCTCAGAGCTATGGTTGTGTGTGACTGCTCGAGCAGGTCTTAACCGGTGGCTGTCTCGAATAGTGAAGTATATATGCAGTTCGAATCGACTAGCAAGCAGAGCAGGTGTCATTGAGAATTCCCTTGTCCAGGAGCATCATAACAATTGAGTGTACTTTATCACAGCGGAAAGCAGGACAAGCGAGAACACCCACCTGTCCAAAAGGACCACAAACTCCCTAAACACCAAGACCAGAGGCAATACTAAAACAGAATCCACATCATAGTCCGCCTGCTCATTCGAGCCCGAAAGACTATGCAAGGTATCACTTTAGATTCATAGGTAAGATTCTTGTCTTGTTACATAGAGGCCAACGAGGGAACCTCCTGCAACCTAGACATCACAGCTACAGAATACTACACACAATCAGATCCAAGTATTCGTTTCTCGCTATGATACATCGTAACCCAGTACTAGGTCGAAAAAGCCACTATTATAGAGATTCTCCCCCCCCTTCCCACACCAGTACAGGTATTGAGCATCGGCTGTTCCCAATTCGGGCCTTGGGCATGACTTGCCTAAAATCAATTAAGAAGCATCGTGAAGAGAGAGTTTAGGAAAGACGCGGTACAAAAACAACCGGTGCGATTACCAAGCGTTGACATCGAAGTTTTCCTAAAGCCTCGTCAGCAAGTGTTTTCCGATTCATGTCCCAGAAGAAGACTGCTCACCTCGGAGAAATACGTCGTCACGACGGTCCGGTCAGAGAACTTGCGGCCCGCAAGCGCCTTCAGAGCATTCGTGGCCGACTCCACCGTGTCGAACTTGACGAAGATCTTGCCGACTCCAGGGGACTGTCTGCTGCCTCCAGAGGGGCGGGGCACCTTCAACTCGAGGATCTGGCCGTATTTCGAGCACTCATCACGCACGTCGTCGCAGATTTCTACCGGGCGGTTAGCCACAAGCCCCCACCAGAACCAGCAACAAGAACATACCTTCGTAGTCATCGTTATCAATAAGCTCCTCAGGAGTCACCATGTTCAGCAGCTGCAGCACACGGCTAGTCTCCAAGTCCTGAGATGTCGTCTTGGCAAACATGGACATCGCATTGACGCCCATGTCCAACCCGGCGGCCTGGGTCATTCCGATACTGGCACGCACCACCTTCAGGTGTCGGTCACCCAACTCCATCCCGTTCAACCCCTCCACAGCGATGCTCGTGGCGGTAGGATCGGCGTACTCGCAGAACGCGATTCCCTAGAAGAGTCAGATTTGCTAAAACCACACATTCACAAAAACACTTACTCTGGACTCTTCTGTAGAGCTGTCCTTGACCAGGACGAAAGACTTGAGCTCGCCGAACGACTTGAGAAGCATGGTCACCGGCTCCTCGGGGATATAGTTGGGGATGTTAGACACGCAGATCTTGTTGGGCGAGTCAGGGACCTCGTTCAACAAAACTCCCTCCTGGTACTCCTGCTCGACTCCGCTAGGAACAATGTAATCCTTGGGTCGCCGCACTTCCAGCCCCTGCGGCGAGCCGTTGGCATCGCCATTGCCGGCAGCCTCGTGCTCCTCCATTGTGATTCCGTCGAACGCTAGGGCAACCGTGGCGTCGCCGGGGGTCTTGAACTCAAGAAGAGCATAGGAGCGGTCGGTCGACACCTGGGCCGAGATACAAGGGTCCACACTCTCGACAACATTGAGGCCGTTGAGTTGGAGGTTGAAGAAGGCCAGGAGCGCCTCCCCAGTGACGGTGGGAGGCAGGTTGTAGACGAAAAGCCGCTTCGACTGACGGGAGTTGGCAGGCTTGAGGGCGGAGGTCTCGGTGCTGCTGCCAGCGGGCTGGTTCATGAAAGCTTGGAGACGGCTGGGGTCCATGGGCTGCTGACGCGGTGCACCAGGGAGAGGGAACATGCCTGCATATAGATAAGTATTGCGATCGATTCATGACTCAATATTCGGTGTGCTTACCTGAGAGCTTAGCCTGCTCGGCCGTGACGTTCTCGTAGCCGGGGGGCTTGATGTCCCATTGCGTCAGACGGCGCTTGCGATCCAAGACCGACAGGACATCCGTCAGGTCGGGTGTAGGCTCCCTCTTGCGTGGAGGCGAAGCACTCCTCTTCCGCTCCCTTCTGTCACCGCCGGCGCCACGCTCACGCTCGCGATCGCCGGCGCCGCCGCCACCACCACCGCCGCGGTCAGCGCGGTCTCCACGCTCACGGTCACCCCGGTCCCGTCCCTCCCGTCGGGGTCTCTCCTCGAACAGGTCCCGGTCCCTCTCGCGGCGAGAGGGTCTGTCTTCGTAGTCTCTGCGTCGGCGGTCGCCTCGATCCCGATCCCAATCGCGCTCTTCTCTGCGGCTGGAGTAGCGGTCCTCGCGTTCTCGGGCGCGGTAGTCGCGGCTGGACGAGTACGAGTCGGCCTCGAACTCGCGTCGGGAGCCACCCCGGGAGCTGTAATGGGGCGATCTGGACCGTCTTCTGTCGCCTCGCTCGCCTCGCTCGCCCCGTTCCGCTCTCTCCGGTCTGTCCCCTCTGTCCGATCTCTCCGGTCTCTCCGGCCGTTCACCACCACGTTCGCGACGCTCCTCGCGCTGTACATCGTCGGTCGGGTTAGCTAGCTACAGATGGAACGAGAGATAAACATTGTCCATGTCAGTGAACTCACGTAGTAATCCCTAGAGCGACCCGCCTCCGCTTTATAAACAATGTTAGCAAGTGAGCCCACAATAAGCGTGGCTGTTGTCCGGGATATAACTCACGTCTGGCAGAATACGTATCACCGTTCATTGTGAACAACTCCAAATAGAATAGTTTCAGTTCCTTATTTTCCCCCCTTCGTCCTTGGGATCGCAAGTGTCGGCTGGAAACAACTAACAAGCTCCGGAAGCAGACCTGAGACAAGAAGTGAGGTTTCAAAGGTGCGACCTCAAGCGCAACCGAGAAGATGGAAAGCAAAGGACGTCTCTCTGATGAAGGAGAGTGGTCGAGCTGCGGCGCTGGGGAAGGGAAAACTCGCTGGCGGCGACCAAGCAAGCGGCAGCCGCCCGGGCGCGCCTTAAAACGGTTAGCGCGGTCGGGACCGCCTTCTTTATCGGACCCCAAGTGGGCGGCAGAATCAGTATCGGTATCTACAGGCATGGGATCGATCTTCATCCAGACTACTTTTTGGAAACTTTTTTTAGGATGCTTGACGAGGCCAATTGTCTTTCATCATGACAGTAGGTGCCTTCTCTGAATGGCGCAAGCTGCCCGTGAGTTTGAGTGAGCTGTGCATCAATACCACCTTACGCTGTGGACAATCATTCCGGTACAGTACTCCTCCTCCCTTCTCGCCTCGCCGCTCAGGGCCCCATGTGCTGCACTATTGTATCCTATAAAGCACTCACGAAGCTTATCCAATCTTTCGAAAGATGGCACAATGTCCCTGACAGCGACGAATGGCGCTGCGTTCTACACGGCCGTCTGCTGTCCCTGAAGCAAGACCCCACCCACCTCTATTACCGAACCTACCTCCCTTCTCGCCCTCCAAAGACCATCTCAACCTCTCCACCACCACCCAAAGCCGCCGCCGCCATCCCCTCAAACCAACAAAAAGCCTCCTCTCCACTTAAAACCGAACACAGCAACCCTATCCCTACGAACGGCGATGATGACGAATCCATCCTCCCCCTCCTGACCGCCTACTTCAACCTCCCAGCCAACCTCACCACCCTGTACGAGGGGTGGTCCCAGCACGACGCGAACTTCCGCAAGAAGGCGCCGCAGTTCACGGGGATCCGCATCCTGCGGCAGGACGCGTGGGAGGCGCTCATCGCCTTCATCTGCAGCAGCAACAACAACATCGCGCGCATCTCGCAGATGGTCGAGAAGCTCTGCCGGCGCTACGGCGCCTTCGTGGCCACCGTCGACGGCCGCGCGTACCACGATTTCCCCGGCCCAGAGGAGATGATGGTCGCTGGCGGTGAGGATGTGGAGGCCACCCTGCGCGGGCTGGGGTTCGGGTACCGGGCCAAGTACATCTGTCAGACGGCGCGGATTGTGGCGCTGGAGCGGGAGAAAGGGTGGTTGGAGGGGTTGCGGAATCCTGAGTCGGTGGCGTTGGGTCGTGCTGGCTCGCTGGGTGGTGATGGTGAGGGTGACGCTGGGGAATGGAAGGAGGAAGGGAGGGAGGGGTATCGACTTGCTCATGCCAAGTTGCTGGAGTTGCAAGGCGTGGGGCCCAAAGTCGCGGACTGTGTTTGTTTGATGGGGTTGGGATGGGGTGAGGCGGTGCCGGTTGATACGCATGGTGAGTCTTTTCTTTCAGCTTCTTTGTCTGAGGGATATCATTGACCATGACATGTTTGTACAGTCTGGCAGATTGCGCAGCGGGATTACAAGTTTGGGAAGGGGTCACATAAGTCCCTTAACAAGGTGTTGTACGATGCCGTGGGGAATCATTTCCGCAAGCTTTGGGGAAAGGAGGCGGGCTGGGCGCAAAGTGTGCTTTTCACGGCGAATCTGAGGACTTTCTCGGATCGCTTGGCGGCGACTTCCTCCAAGGTGGGGGTGAAGGTGGAGGTTAAAGATGAGGAAGGAGAGGATGACGGTGTTGAGGTCAAGACGGAGGTTACCACGGCCACGGCTATCCCCTTGAAGAGGGCAGCAAGCGAAGATGGCGTCAAAATTAAGGCTGAGGACGATGCGGACACGCATGCTATTCTCCAAGCCTCCCAGACTACGACCACGAGACGAATGTCCAAGCGGCTTCGGAAACGATGAGGTGATGAACATACCTTGTATCATATTCCTTGTATATATTTGCATTCTGTATCAAAACAGTTCACATCATCTCGGTCAATAGAGTATGGTCAAAAGAGCAGGAATCTCATGGGTTTTGATTGAAGAAATAGTTTTGCATATGCAATTTCGGGGATGTTGCAAACCTCAGGCATGATAGCTTACAGTCTCGCAATGGTGTTGTACTCATTCAGTATGCAGAGTCTCTCGGTACTCATCGTATCAGCAGGAGAACGCATCACAAACCGTTCAGCACTATTAGATACTCACTCCAGGAGGTATGGTAGCTCGAACGATGCTCACCTCCAACGTACGAGTTATACCTACAGTCGCCTATCCTTCGACCCAACCTGTCACCTCAAACATGGATTGCGAGCAATATGTTGTCCATGCCGAGACTGGGCCAAGAAAACATGTTCCTCCAAGCACCTCCTTGGCACTCGAAGCTTCCACCACACCCATTAACGGCTTGGCAATGATACTTTCTGAGCCCGTATCTAGACCAAGCGCGTGGCTTGTCGTTGCCTTGAATCGAGAGACAGGGCATCCAAACCAGGTTATAGCTTTCGAGTCATGACGAGCTAGAGTGATCCAATCAACATCACATTCATTGGAGCCATGCAGGCTCCCGAACGCAAGTTCTGAGGGAGCTGAAATGCGACATTACTCCACAACAGAAGCTAAGCCACTGGGCTAATTGACACGGGAAATGATAAGGGAACTAGATAGCATCTCCGATTTCGGCAGTACTCAAGAAGAATCAGACTGGTCAGTGATCCGAGTCGGTGCTTTTGCTGTGAGACGGCCCATGGGAATGTGCATTTGGCGCGGGGGTAGAGTCCATCGGCAAAGGGTTCCCGACGCATGAAAGTCTTGAGTCAAGGCATGATGAGGGCATGATACCAATTGCCCGGACGGGCTGGCTAAACGAACCGAAAAGGTCCCGATACAATTGATTATGTATCCTTCGACAAGCAGCCCATTGGTCCATAGGGACTGTACCAATGCCTCTTGAGTCTGACTGCCCGTGTGGACCAAGTCAGAAGAGACTTGGTGCGAAACCGTCGGTGAACGAGCGACGGCATCCTGGTTTAGTGAGTCGGCCGACCAGTCGGACCAAAGGTGATGTTACATAGACTCAGCTAGAAGGAGCAGTGAGTGGGTAGGAATGTTTGGGGTCTGGCACCAGCATATTGGCTCGCGTGGCACCACATGACCGGAGAAAAAAAATAAGTTCGCAGTAGTAGACACGGCGTGGGTGAAGACAAGAAAAGCAAAAGGTAAAAGGTTCAACACTCATGTGGTTGAGTTTCGGTGGGCGCCCACTTGGCACCCATGGCTTAACACTATTTTGCATGGACGATGGGGGTTTGGCACGGTTCAAGTTTACCCCGCGTTAGCACTGACTTGAGGGAGTGGGGGTGAAATGGGGGAGGGACATTGAAGGGCCTAGCCAATGTGAATAGGAAATAGGAGAACAACAAGCGGGTAAGTCTTTAATCCCACCTTGGTCAATTCAACCATCTTGCAGTAAAGAGCACCTGCTGCAAGCAGAATAATAAGACGTCATGGCATGACAGACTCGAAGGTTGAGGAAGGCATGGAACTGTAGGAGAACAAGAAAATGTGGGGAGGTTCTTGGCCTCCGGGGGAAAGCTTGGCGATGGAACAGAACAGAACAGACTCAGAGTCAATGGCCACCAATTCCTGATCATCTGAGATGGAAGATTCAGTCAGTCATCATGATGAAAGAGGAGGAAGGGAATTGAGGGAAATTAAAACAAAGAAGAAACAGGGGAAAGGGTCTGGGCGGAGAAGCAGCTGCCTCGTTCTGACTCAGATGAACTCCCCCCCCAATCCTCCTATCCATCTCCTTCCTCGAATGCTCGCATGGTTTTGATTCGGCCCAGGTGTCAGCCTCTCTTGCCTCATGTGAGTGATCGGCAAGAGTCCGAAAGGCTAACCAAAGCCTGGTCCTCAGGAAGCACCTGAGCTACCTAGTACCTACTAGGTAGGTTTGGATTAGACCCGAGGAGAAATCGCGGGGTCTGTCATCCTCATGGTTGCTCGGCGAACATTCACCTGCCCGACGTCGGCCTTTTAAAAACTGCGGCCGAGTCTCAAATTTCGGTTCTTTTCTTTTCTTTTTCTTTTCTCGCGGTTCAGTCCTCGTTCTCTGCCCCTTTCCTTGCCTCTTCTTCAGTCAAACGGTAGTTGTCTGCTCTTCTATCCAGTATGTCTCATGTCAAAGAGGACAGGCCCTCACGGGCAGTCCAGCATCATGTTTCGGACGAAGACGATTTACCGTCAATGAGCGTCGGAAAATACCTGATAACTCGAATCCCAACCCTGGTACCTGCTATGAACCCTGCTCCGAATCCCATCAAGGCCCTTACTCTGCTCAGTGGCAAGCAATGGCTCTTCTTTGGTGTAGGTGACTCGAGATCCTCCGCGCCGCCCATCCACTGCTAATCGCATTCCTAGGTCGCCTTCTTTGGTTGGACGTGGGATGCCTTCGATTTCTTCACCGTATCCTTGACGACCACTCAGCTCGCAGAGGCCTTCGACAAGTCAGTCACAGATATCACCTGGGGCATCACCCTCGTGCTGATGCTCCGCTCCGTGGGAGCGATCGCCTTCGGCATCGCTGCCGACCGATGGGGCCGTAAATGGCCTTTCATTGTCAACAACATCATGTTCATTGTGCTGGAGCTGGGAACAGGTTTCTGTAATACATATCGTGAGTTCCTGGCTTGTCGCGCTCTCTTTGGGATTGCTATGGGGGGTCTATACGGCAACGCCGCGGCTACTGCGCTTGAAGATTGTCCAATGGAGGCGCGTGGTATTGTATCCGGTTTACTCCAGCAAGGCTATGCGTTTGGATATCTGCTGGCGACGGCTTTTGCACGCGGATTGGTTGACACGACCTCGCACGGTTGGAGACCTTTGTATTGGTTCGGCGCATGCCCTCCGGTCCTCATCATCATCTACCGGCTCTGCCTGCCGGAGACAGATGCTTTCATCGAACGCCAGAGGACTCGAAACTCTGTCCGGGGTGGAGTGACATCGACTTTCTTGTCGGAGGGCCGGGCAGCTTTGAAGCGACACTGGTTGCTGCTGATCTATCTCGTTCTGCTCATGGCGGGCTTCAACTTCATGGTGTGTACTTTCTACAGTTCGTTGTTGGCGTCCACTTACTAAGTAATGCAGTCTCATGGCTCGCAAGATCTGTATCCGACCATGCTCAAGAGCCAGTTTGGCTTCTCGGCTGATGCGGTCACTGTCACCCAAGTCGTCGCCAACCTGGGCGCATTGACGGGAGGCACCCTGTGCGGCTGGGCGAGTCAGATCTTCGGCCGACGATTCTCGATCATTGTGATCAGTGTCGTCGGCGGTGCCCTCCTCTACCCGTACACTTTTGTTACCTCGACCAATGTCATGGCCGCCGCCTTCTTCGAGCAATTCTGCGTGCAGGGCGCTTGGGGTGTCATTCCCATTCATCTGATGGAGCTGTCTCCAGGCTCAATCCGCACCTTCGCGGTGGGTACAGCCTACCAGCTCGGCAACCTAGTGTCGTCAGCCAGTTCCACGATCGAGTCAACGATCGGAGAACGGTTCCCTCTGCCACCTTCAGCCACTGGAGCCAAGCGCTACCAGTACGGCAAGGTGATCTGCATCTTCATGGGGTGTGTGTTCGCTTATGTGATCTTGGTGACATTCTTGGGCCCGGAGCGGTTGGGACGTCAGTTCGATGTGGCACATGATGCGGACATGGCGGAAGTGACGGCGCATCACGGCAAGGACGGTGAAGTTGTTGAGAGTGACCCAGAGAAGGGTACCGTGCGGACCTTAGAGGGTTGAAGCACGCAGTGAAAAGACTTTTACACTACAGTGCGAGATCTACGATGTGATGATTTAGCGTTCGGAATTTATGGACGGCATTATGCTTGGATATCATGACTGGAACGGCTTCCGAGACCTAGCATGTATGGCCATACATATTGATTCTTAATGTCTCCCTCGTTTACCGGAGGAGAAATAATGCAAGTATAACTATGTAAGATTCAAGCTTCGAATTGAACAAGAACTTTGAAGGAATGATTTGGTAATGTTGAACGACTGTAGCTTGCTTAAGAGTCCGTCGCTTGGATTTGTAACCTGGGATTCGACTGGATCAGTCAGTCAACGCACAGGAAACCACACAAGCAAGTTAGGATCCAGTCTCAACAGGGCATTGTCAGCATCTGCTTAATTGAAATGGGCTCATTGTCTTGGGTGAAAACCATCACAGGGTTGAAGTCTCTTCATTTGCATCCCCGGGGTTGCAGAATCTCAAGAAGAAGACCAAATAAACTCACCTGGGATTTTATGCAGGATTGTGCATAGAGTGAAAAGTGGAGAGGGTGGAATTATCCGAGTTGGGAACTGGGGAGAAGGAGCTGGATTTATAGGTGTTGGTTAACCCCGCACGGCGGTTGCCTGGCTGGCACCTGCAGGGGTGATGCGTGGTCTGATGTATTACTTGAGGTGCTTGGGGATAAACATGGTTGATTGGTATACAACGGGTTGATTTTGTTGTACAGTACTGTGTAGAAGGTGAATGCACATCTTCAGTGATTGATGTGTGCCAGCACAGTACGTACTCCGTAATTTGCCCGTTCTCCATCCACTTACTCGGCTGCGGGCTGGTGGTGGAGCCTGGATGGAGTCTCTCAGGGTCTCATTGCGAGTCCAGACTGCGCCCTCCATATTAGCAGGGTATTTTAATTTGAGAAAGATGAAAGGTCCTTTAGAGTCTGGGACAGATTATGTTGACTGTTGGGCTCTCCCTCACTGCTCCTTCTATCTCCCCAGCATGTAGAAAGTGAGGCCAAGATGATTCTCTCCTCGTAGCTGTCAAGCCGGACTTGATCCATGGGACCCATGGGACCCTCCGGTCTTCGTCCCTTGTATCCCAGTTGGCCGGCGATGCGACGCTGACTTCATGACATCCGGTCTGGGGAGTGGGTTCCTCTAACGCAGAGGATGAGGAAAGGGAACAGACATTCACTGCTGCCTCATAAGAGAGAAGTATAACTAACGCATATGTACTGAGTAGGACTGACAGTCGATGGTGGCTCGATCGTGCCTCGATTGTGCCGACTTGCATCCCGCCAAGCCCGTTCCGTCTGCGGTGCCAAAAAAGAAACCAGAACCTCAACCAACCTTTCTCTCCATCGCCTTGCCTCGCTCGCTTCCCTACTGCTGCTACCAATTGCTGTTGCTGCTGCTTTCGCTTTTTTTCCACCCTCCCCTTCCTATTGAACCTCCTTCAGGTCGACTCATCCTCTTTTTCTCTTCGTTCACCTTCTCCCGACCTTCCTCTCCGTCACCCGGTCGCCTCTACTGCTATCTTCCCTCCTCGTTCCCCTCCTTATCGCCTCCGTCCGTCGGTCGCTCGTTCGTCCTCCGGCCAAACCCCGAGCTCGTTCCTTTTAGGGGTCCATTCGGTCTCGAACCAAACCACAAACAATTGATTGAGGAGGAAAGAAAGAAAGGGAATCTCGGCACGACCTACACTTTCATTCAGCTTGATTACACCCATCGTCGTGCTTGTCCGTTCGTTCGCCGTCTCCTCCAGATTGCACATTGTCGCATTCCAGCCTCCGTCTTCCAGGGACGGATCCCCTTGCCGCCCGTCCACCATTACCGCACACTTCCACCCCAACTCATCACTTCACGGTCTCTCCTACGTGCTGGATGATTATTCCGACTGCGGCCACTTCCAATGCACAGACGCTCGTCTGGCTCGCCGGCCGAGGACGACGCTGAAGACTCCGTGATCACCGTCTCTCGAACCCAGACTGAGCCCAGCCATGCTCCCCATGTTCTCGATCCGCCGGAAAAATCCCGCTCGCAGGCAGCCAGAACCGGCACCAGCTTCGATCTGCGGCGAGACACTACCGGCACCTCCAACACCCGCTCGAGAAACTCGAGTCTCTGGCGCACTCCCTCCTCCCATGAGTCCCGATCGTCGTCCGTCATGACCCCGCTGGCCTCCCAGCGATTGCCGATGGAAGCCTCCCCGGAAGGCCAGCACCGCTTTCGCCCGTCGCATCTCCGCAGTCCCTGGCCGATCTCCGTGCTAGCCGCGCTCACCACGCTCGTCGCCTCGATATTCTTATTCTTCATCTGCCGGTCCTTCACCGTGCGGCAAGTCGGCGGCGATGGATGTGGCATTCCCGTCATGAGCCCCACGTTCATTCGCATGGTCGGATTCGACACGGAACACACTCGTTTTGCCAGCAAATACAATTTGTTTCTTTATCGGGAAGAGGGGGTGGATCCGTACAACCAGGAGAATCTCGGGGTGAGTTCTTGGCGCAGATTTGGTCCCAGAGTCCTTCATTGTTCTCCATCGAGTACTGATGTTTAATCGTGGTTTCAGCTAAACGGTGCACCGGTGCTCTTCTTGCCTGGAAACGCCGGTAGTTACCGACAAGTTAGATCCCTGGCTGCCGAGGCGTCGCGCCACTACGCCGATGTCGTCCGTCATGACCAAGAGCGCCTCAAGACGGGCACACGGAGTCTAGATTTTTTCATGATTGATTTCAACGAGGACATGGCCGCCTTCCATGGTCAAACGCTGCTAGACCAGGCGGAATACGTCAATGAAGCTATCTCATATATTCTGTCGCTCTACCACGATCCTCGACGATCGCGGAGAGACCCCGGCCTGCCAGATCCCAGCTCTGTCATCCTGATCGGACACTCTATGGGGGGCATTGTGTCTCGCACCGCGTTGACCATGGCCAACTATCAGACGAACTCCGTAAACACCATCATCACCATGTCAGCCCCGCACGCAAAGCCTCCGGTCTCGTTTGAATCAGACATTGTTCACACGTACAAACAGATCAACGATTACTGGCGCGAGGCTTACTCGCAGACATGGGCCAATAACAATCCGCTGTGGCATCTGACACTGATCTCCATTGCCGGTGGTTCGCGCGATACAGTGGTTCCGTCCGATTATGCCAGTATATCCTCGCTCGTTCCGGAAACGCACGGTTTCACTGTTTTTACCTCCACCATCCCGGATGTGTGGATAGGGATGGATCATCTGTCCATTACATGGTGTGATCAATTCCGTAAAGCGATCATCAAATCTCTATTTGACGTGGTAGATGTCCGCCGGGCTAGCCAGACGAAGCCAAGAGCTGAGCGCATGCGGATCTTCAAGAAATGGTATTTAACCGGTCTGGAAAGTGTGGCAGAGCGCACGCTGCCCCAACAAGGTACCAACAGGATTGCGCTTTTCGTTAAATGTGTTACTGACAGCTTGAGCAGAGCCCAGCACGCTCTTGACATTAGAAGACAGCACCAACACCATCCTCCCGCAAGGTCAACGATTGGTTCTCCGAGAATTCGGTCATGAGACGGGTCCGAATGTGCACCTGCTGCCGGTCCCTCCGCAAGGAGTATCAGGGAAAAAGTTTACGCTCCTTACGAACCAGCACTTCGACAAAACGGGCGAACACGGGACCCTGGAGGTTCTGTTCTGCAACGTTTTCCCCATGCACAATGGCAAACTTGCGGGCGTATTCTCAATGAACGTGGACTTCTCCGGCGGCAGTGCCGGCTCAACTCGCCTTGCCTGCAAGAATGCCGCCGATGATGGGATTCATTTGCCGGCGTCGACGCATTCTTCCCGACATGCTTATGACAGGGTTACGCCTTTCTCGTACCTACAGTATGACCTGGAGGACCTGGTAGAGCACCAGTTCGTGGCGGTCGTTGACAAGGCTCGTTCTCCGGCTCGCGGCTGGGTCGTCGCTGAGTTCTCCGACAGTTCGGACTCAGTGATCAGAGCCCATGTGGGCCTGGGAGGACTGCTTAGTGCCGGTGTCAAAATGCGACTGCCTGCGAACCGTCCTATGCTCACGGAGGTCAAGATCCCCGCCTTGCATTCAAGCCTGTTGAATTACAAGCTCAAGATCGTGCGACGCGGCCCGCGGCATCAGCAGGAGCTCTTCGCGCCGTTGTTGCGCCAGTCGATTCCGGACCCGCACGAGTCGAAATTCTTCGTCAATGTCCAGCATGTTCATGTCAACCTGCACGGTGTTGCGCCCTTTATGCCTCCCCCGCTTCGCGAACAGGCCGCACTGGGTGGGGTATCTTTCCAGCTGTGGACGGACCCAACTTGCGAGTCGTCGGTCGATATTTCTTTGGCAGTGGATATTCTAGGCAGCTTGGGTGAGCTCGTAATGCGGTACCGGACTGTCTTCGCAGCTTTTCCGGTTCTTGTCATCGCCCTTGTTCTTCGCAAACAATTCCAGGTGTACAACGAAACCGGCTATTTCATCACTTTTCTCGAGGGTCTTGACAGCACCATACGATCATCCCTGCCCATCCTGCTGCTGGCTATGTCACTGCTGGCGTCCTCCCTGGCTACATCTAGCACCCTGCCGCCGCGCGACGAAATGTTCCACTGGCACACGAACGCCACCGAGACTCCAGTTGACTATACGAAGAATGACCTGCTATTGGGCTCTCAGGACGCCTTCTTCTGGTTTCTGGTACCAATCTTCGGCATGATTAGTGTGGGTGTTTGTGTTCTCATCAACTACGTCGCATTGTCTCTACTTTCGGTCTTTGCCTTCATATATGGACTCCTGAACAGCCGGTCCGGTTACATCAAGCGAGATGACAAGGGGTAAGTCTTGGGTTATTCTCTATCCAAATGTCCACTAACCGAGGCAGAAATATTTCCATGTTCTCTGCTCCCACGCCGAGACGGAGACTGATTAACACGGCTATCCTGCTCATCCTTGTCTCAACGGTCGTTCCTTACCAGTTTGCATACATGGTGGCTTGCATTGTGCAGCTAGCTACTTGTGTGCGCGCCCAATGGCACGCCAAAGAGACCGTAGGCCACTCAAGCCCTATTTTTGAATTGTTGCTGATCTCTTTCTAGAACTCCACGACTCATTATAACTTTGCAAACTATACCTACTCGATCTTTTTGCTGATGCTCTGGATCCTTCCGATCAACATCCTTGTTCTGCTTGTCTGGGCGCACAACCTTGTGGTTCACTGGTTCATGCCCTTTTCTTCCCATCATAATGTGCTGTCCATCATGCCTTTTATCCTGCTTGTCGAGGCTATGACGACAGGAACCATGATCCCTAGAGTCACCACACGGTAAGACCTATTGCCGCTCCGTTTACGGGAAACCCGACTGATGAATGCAGGTTAAAAAACATCACATCTGTTCTCCTCTTCGCAATCGCGGTGTACTCGGCGGTGTACGGCGTGTCCTACGCCTACCTCCTCCACCATCTTACTAATATACTGGCTGGCTGGCTGGTCGTGATCTACCTGTTTGGCAGCGGCTTCTCGATTCGCCGATTGTGGCGGCTTGTGGACGGAGATGAAGGGACGCCCGCCTCCGCGGAAGCCGGCAGTCACATGAAGAAAAAGCCATAATGGGATTTCTCCGTAGATTTTGTTTTTTATTCCCTGTTGCATCTTGCCAGTTGCCCTCCCGGGGGCCATGATTATAAGGAGTTTGATTGTTGTCTGCTTTGGAGCGGTGTTGGGTGCTTTCGTGTCTGTCCGAATGACGGACGTCCAACATGTACAGGATTTGTTTCCCCATGGATCTGTTGACACAATGAGTCGTCTGTATATACGGTGGGGACTGGGATATAGACTCTAAGAGATAATACTATGTACGCAGTTTTTGAGGTGCTATGGTTGTATCAAGACGAGTTGGTGCGAAGACACCCTAGCGGACCACGTCGTTGTGGCGTGACAATATGGAGCAGGTTGCCGCGGAACCGCTCTGTGGTATGGACCTTGTCCTTTCGATCCGATCGACAGAGATGTCACTGCAGAGAATCGGTATGGCTTCGCACCTGGTCGCTAGATCGAAAGACTCGAAGAGCTACACAGCTCTCCAGTGTCACCTTGGAGCCTCCAGGACCTCCAGGACCTGCCAATTCCAGACTCTTCACTCTCTCTTTCTCCGGAATTCAACCGCCAAGGCCTATGTACGACTGAACCAGTCGACATCATGCGGTGCGAGCGCCGCTCCAAACCTTGGTATACAGTAGTCGTCAAAACAAATCTGCCAAGAGATTAGATCGCCCGCCGCATCAGCATCAGTCACACAGCAGCAGCAGCAGCAGCAGCAGCAGCATCAGCACAGCCATAACAAATCCAACCCACCCCAAAACAACGCAATCTCGATCATCGTAATTACTAAACCATCAAATCCCACGACATAGACAGTACCTCGAAACGAACCAACCCTTATGGCAGCCGAAGCTCGACGCACCTCGGAGAAGATTCCTCTCGTTCTCGGCATAGGCCAGCGGCATCGGAGTTAAATTTTCTTGAGTTTTCTGCATTCTCGGAATGAAATCCCACCCACCCCCCTCCTTCGGACTGAAAATTCAACCCAGGAAGAAAAGGGAAGCTTAACGCGGGACTCCACGTCATTTTTTTTTCTTTTCTTGGGGAGATTTGAACATAATTGCAGATGGTGGAGTGAATGTGGATGTGAATGTGATCGAGTCATAGTTCGTCGAACATAGCCCCCACGCACATGCTTACCGCCATACAATTGTGAAATCATCTAGACTTACTAGGTACCTAAGACCTTGAGTCATCAACAGACAACGGGTGGATCGTTGCACGCATGTGGACGGCGGTCCCCACTCAACCTTAACAGAGGTTATTATTCATAGTCTAGCAGTTGTTCACTTGGGTCGCTGGGCGGTGGGCAGTGGGCAGGGAATAAGGAGGGATTCCGAATTGGGATCCCGATCTGTGGTGGGGGGGGGACCTTGGCGGATCTGGTAACTTACGGAGTAGGCATGTCGATCATATACTTATGGCCCCGGGAGGGCTATAGCTGGGAGGGAGTTACACTACATGGCGTGCGGTTCCTCTGATTTGAGGGCTGTACTGTCCTGTACCCTGACCACATGAAGATGGTGCTCTGTGTACAGAGTAAAGTTCTATATCGAGTGAGGTTGTCAATTGTCTTCTCTTGCTGGGAGAGCTAGCTATTCCCTAGATCAACAACACAGTTATAGGCATAGGCATAGCCATAGCCATAGCCATAGCCATAGCCAATAAACCTATTTCCTGTAGGTATGCATCTACGCATAGCCAGCCATCCGCATCCGCATCCGCATCAGCATCAGCACAGCATCAGGCAGACAAAGCCGTCCAGGCTCCCAAGCAGCATCCGACCACCACACGGAATACGAGCGAGTACGTAGTCATCCACGGTTCTCGCATATCCACTGACTCAATCCCCTTGCGACTCCGATCCCGGCCCCATCATCCCGATGTAGGTAGGACCCCCTCCAGACATCGTCGTCATAGTCTAGTCTAGTACAGCCCCGATTCCCAATTTAAGGTGTAGTGTACTACTGTACTGCACCGGGACTAGACTTCCAGTGCCTCGTGTCTCGTGTCCGTCCAGGTTTGCTCCTTCCGCGCCCTTCGCGCCTTGGCCTTGAGATGTATGCACTGGATGCAAACGGTGCAAGTTAGAGGTGGGCCTGGGCAGATCTGAAGGAAGAGGTTTGTAAGCATAAACTTTTGTATCTGGATAGATCTGTCTTGTGGTGCATACTTCACTTATACCAATACCTTCCACAGATTCTGGAATTGTATATACACTGCAGTAGATACATAAGCAACCTTCTGCAAGACCATTAATAATCTCAATCCTGGCCCACTGACCTCCCCCCAAACTCTCCTTCCTACGAAGTAAACACTGTATCCAAGGGCGTAGCATGACACATCCACCCACATGCCCAAACCCAAACCTTCAAAGCAAAGCTCACCCTTCTAAAAGAGAAATCTACAGAATAAAAAAAATAATCTCCAAAGCTAAACCAATTTGACACTCCGACACTCCCCAAATCCCACTTCTCGAATTCCTATTCGCGGCTGGCACCCGGAAGCCGGGGCTGGGCTGGGCTCAGCTTTCTTGGCAACTTGCCTAAACTGCAGTGCTGCAAGCCGTGCAGTGCAGTACGGTGCTCGGGTTTATTCCGGCGCTCGGAGTAGATTCTTGGTTTTTCGGATTAGGCGTTGTATGACAGGTTACTGGGTATACTCCGTTTTTGAATTTTGGGGGGTGATTCATCGACTCGGTGTCAGGGATTGGATTTGACGTTGAGGTTGGGGACCGTGGGGGTACTGGACATGCATACTGTGCAGAGGTTGACGTCTGTACAGTATATAAGGAATGTGATGGCCCTTGTTGTCGGTGTCGTCTGTCTAGTATCTTCATCTACATCTACAATACAGTCAATTATATCAGGGATATATTCTACTCCTTCTTCATCATCCATATATACGCGATTGAAACTACACTTCCGCTGCCACTATTACCGCTATTACTGGTATCCTTCTATTCTTCAATCCTTCTATTCGAGATAGAATACTATACCTATACACCTACTATACAACAACAACAACAACAACAACAACAACCAAACATAACCCTTCTCCTCCAATTAATCAATCAAACAACCACAACCACAACTACAACCACAATGCCCTCAAACCCAACCACCGCCCCCTCCCTCAAATCCACTCCCTCAACCCTCTTCCACCCCGACAACGACGACGCAGCCTCCACATCCAGCGTCTCCTCCACCGCCTCGACCCTCCGCTCCCTGAAGACCAAATACCTGGCCAAGATCAAGTCCGCAACACCGGAATCCGAGTCCAAAGAGAAAAGCACTGCGGCCAAGAAGAAGACGACGACGACGACGGGCAAGGGCAAGCACACGCCGACGTACACGAAAGCCACCAGCAGCAGCAGCAGTCCCAAGAAGGTCGATTATGAGACCTTGGGGACGTATCTGGCTCTACGATGATTACCTTATTTCTTGGGAGGGTTGGGGGTGGAGGCATATGGATAATAGGTTGGCATCAGGAGGAGGAGGAGGAGGAGCTAATGAGGGAGGACTTTGGGGGAGAACAGAACAAAACAAAAACCCGTTATTCGGGACCTTATGTGATATGATGATTGGTATATATCGGTTGTGACCTTTTTTTTTGGGCGTGACTCTCGTTTCTTTTCTGTTTCCTGTTTTTGGCATTCTGGAATATGGTTGACTAGCTGATTGACCTACGGGTTGGTTATGGTGTTTGCAAGAATCGCAACTAGATATTCGATTAATGATGAATTCACAGACAATCTTTTCGGTCCATAAGCTTGTCTTTTAGGAGCAGTGATGCCATGCTAGGCTGAAATTCTGACCCTTTCCCCCATTTCCGACTGTTCGTGTCTCATCTAAATCTGGAAGATAAGATCTGAAAAAGACATTACCCTACTTCATCTGCCGCGCGCCTTGAGCCTCGGCCCCATCACTAATTTCCTCCTTGACCTGACATTTCTTTCAGGCTGTCAATGGGCGAGATCAGCCTTTCCCAAACGCTGTGTTGAACAGAGACGAATGTCATGGGCATTCCTTCAGGACGAGAATAGCATAATCAGTCTGTGGGTGACAGACTGGCTCGGATTGGCTGTCATGACCATGGCCTCTTGCTTTCTTGCTGCTGCCTGCTGCTGCTGCTGCCTGCTGCCAACAGCTGGAAAGGGGTTACGTCTCGGGTAACAAATCCCATGCAGATACCTGCGAGTTCTTCGCTTGCGAAACACCGTAGTGCTACCAAACCCCAAGCCCTTTACCAGTTCACATCGCTGAGCTGAAGCTTCCGGGACCGGAACGCCATCCGGTTACTGCCCGACTTGTCGACTCGGGTATCGCGATGGGGAGAGCGTTTCTCGGCAGCGGAGTCTAGAGAAAAATTAGCTTCACGAAACCTCCACATAAATAAAAACACACCTTCGGAGTTGGCATCGACTTCGTTGGTCATCTCGTAGTTCAGCACCAAACTCTTGATCCGCTGTTGCTCCTCCCGGTCCGCCTGCTGCTGGCTTCTCATCGCGACCGCGAAGCTGGAATCGGACGGTAGATCAATGGTGCGAGTCTGTACCGTTAGCATGCTTCTCCATCCCCTAACAAAGAAAAAGAGAAAGAAAAAAAATAAAAAAAAAAACCTACTTGCTGCTTGTTGCCCTTCTTCGTCATCAGCGAGAAAGCCATCGTGTTGGTGGTGGGCTTGGGAGGCTCTGCGACGTTCACGTTCTCCGCCGCAGCCTCGCGACCGGATCGCTTCATGGGCAAAGGGATATCGAATACGCCCTTGCGCTCGAACTTCCTCGACTCCATGCTCTCAGACATCATCTTCTCAAACTCGCGGTCGAAGTCGGCTTCGGCCTCCGGGTCACGTTCCTCTTCCTGCCGCGTGACGAAGATCTGCTCGTCCTCCGACTCGCTCTCACCGGTGTTGTCAGCGTTGGGACCAGACGCCTAAACTTGTTAGCACACGATTTCACCACCTTTGGGAATGAACAGACCTCAGCTTCATCGCTGGACTCCTGGTCATCTTCCGCCTCAGGTATGGCATCCTCTTCCAGATCATCGTCCGAAGAACTGCTCTCAGCATCCTCCTCCTCAACATCCACAGGGCGTTCGGAATCCTGCATCTTGTAGTTCTGCGCGACCGCCTCGCCGAAGACCTGCGTAGCTTCGGCAAGGTCCGCCGCCAGTTTCCACTGCGGACGAGCCATCGAGTAGGTATCCTGAACGAGGAACTCAACGTCCATCGGCATCGGATCTTTGGTGTGCATATAGTACTGCTCGAGTTAGTGTCCAGCTCGGATCAACACTTATTACCAGCGTACCTGGAAGAAATTAAGGAAGAAATCGAGCTTCTTCTTCGCAGACCCGCGGTCAAAGCAGTGGCCGCACGTGTCGAGCAGCGTGCAGACCAGACGAATGCGGAAGAAGTCATCAGGCAAGTCCAGCGGGTTGACCTTCCCAGCCACTGGCGTTCCTCCTTCTATGGACACGTAAGTGATTCTCCTTTTGATTGATCATGAATACAACTCACCGTGACCGAAGGTGACAATGCGGTACAAGGTATCGAAGATGACGGGCGAGTCGATCATCTTGTAATTGTAGAGTTCTCCCAGATACTTGACCTCCGCAACACGCTTCTGATTGAACTTGAAGTCATTCTGCTCGAGACCTAGAGTTATCTGCTCGAGAACATTGTCCACGATCCCAATCACGAACTCCTGGTGATACCGATAGAGAGCGCTGACCAGGATCGCGAGCAAATGGATGTTTCCATACTTGACCTTAACCGGTTTGCTGAAGACCTTTTCCAGGATATCGACCACTTCGCCCTCTTCCCAGTGGAGCTTGCGAATTGATTTCAGAATCTTGGTGTAGTTCCGCTTATTCATGTCCAGATATACAATCCGGCGGATGTAGGCTTCCATAGGCGTACGTTCCTTCTGCTGGATGGCAGGCCGGGGTGGCGGATCAACGTAGTAGATGGCGTTCTCGATGATCATCCGCTCCTGTTGACCGAGATGTTGAACAGTCTTCTTTCGTCCCAGGGTCTCCAGGAAAGAAGCCATCCTTGGAGCTGTCTCCGGGTTGCGGAGTAAGTAACGACCGCAGTTCTCCAGGAGATAACCGATGATCTCGATGTTCATGCGCGAGAAGTCATCCAGCGAGACCTTGAAGCAATGGAAGATGATATGCTCAGGGACCACGCCGAACTTAGTCAACTCCGCCAGATACCGGACATTGCCCATGCGAACCTGCCCTAAGAACTCCTTCGACTTCCGGCGTTGGAGGCTTCTGAACTCCTCATCAAGGTACGTAGTCAAGCCCTGGGGAATGTCAGGCATATATTGCCCGAGCGTAGCGACCAGGCGAGAGTACAGCGGCAGAAGATCGAGACGTCCCTTGGGGACATCAGAAACCGCCTTGATGAGCCTGTTGCGCGACGCTTTCGAGTTAAGGAAGCAGAAATCCAAGGCCATCTGATCGACGTGGTCCTTGGTCTGTAGGTCGGGTAATTTGGCTAGGAGTGCGTCCACCTGGGCTCCCACAGTCTTGCTTGCAATGGCTGTAGATAGATCGTCGGCATCCGCGTTCTTCTCCTCCGATACTTGAGTCTGAGCGGCGGACTCGGATTTCTCTGCGCCTGCCTCTTCGCCATCCCCTTTCTTCTTGGCTGGCTCCTCGGGATCGGGTTTCTTCTTCCTGGCATCCTCCAGTAGGACAGCTGGCACTTTGCCCTTAAGGTCAACCAGGTTCTCGTAAAAGCGCCGCTCTTCTTCATCTTCCCAGATGCCGGCACCCTCACCCTGACCGCGCAGGTACTCCGTCGTCTTAACCAGTCCGATTCCTCCAGCCGATGCCGCATCGGGATTTTCCTTCTCAGCTAGAGCCGGCATTTCCGCCCCGAGCGCCTCGCAAAGGACTTGGGTGTTGGCAACCAGTTTCTCCAGCGACTTGGTCTGCTTCTCGAAGTTGGCCTGACGGTCCTCGAAGATCTCGCCACTTTTCACGTACGCCTCGGCATTGCGCCGGCTCTGAGCCGTCAATGCCCTCTGATCACGGACAACATGCGCCTTGACGTCCTCCAGGTACCGGTTCAGGATATGGCGGAAACGCAGCTGGAGTTTCTCAGGGATCAGCGGGGGGTCGTTCTCTTCCGCCTCGCACTCAGCACCCCCGCCATTGACCGCATCTCCCGATGAGCCATTCGTGGTGGTCGTCGCGCCGTCCGCCTCGACCGTCTTCCGACCTTCCTCCACCAACTTGGTCCCCAGCACATCCCAACTGAAGCTCTTCACAAACAGGACCGCCAAGGGGAGATTCAAGTGATCGCGATCGTGGCCCAGAAGATCCTTGAGCACTTCCAGGGGAAACGGCTCCGACTCCTTCTCAGCGCCGCCTTCCCTGGTCGCCGAGAGCAGCGCCTTGTTGCTCTTCACGGGCCCGTCAGTCGCCTTCCCGACCACGCCGGCATCTTTCCCCTTGGCCGCCGCGGCCCCGAGGTCATCCGGGCGGTCGATGTCGTCCAGGGTGCGCAGCACGCCCACCAGCCAGAGCTCTGTGACGACGCGCAGCAGCACCCGGTGGCGCGACAGGCGCTCCTTCTCCTCGCGCTCGCGCACCTCCTGGCTCAGGGCCTTGAGCTGCCCTTTGTCCGGGGTGCTCAGCCCGCGGCCCAGCAGCCATCCGAGCTGGCGGGTGAACTCGCCGGGGCCGAACCGCTGATGCAGGGCGCTGGCAATCTCGACCCCCGTGGCGATCTCGCCGGGCGACTTGAGCTTGCAGAGTCCTTCATAGCAGGCCGAGATGATCTCCGACAGGTACTTGTGGAGCGACAGGGTGCGGATGTCGGCGAGAAAGGTTGCTTGGGCGGAGGCGTTGATCCCCGTGCGGAGGCGCTTGATGAAGGCGGTGTTTTTCTTGAGGGCGGAATCGAGGGACTTGCTGACGGGGAAGGCATCTGTTGTGTTGCGGCGATGGGATTAGTTTTAGAAATTAACCTCCGGGCAGCTGGCCAAGTGTGTGGTGTGTGCTTCTGTGTTTGGGTAGAGAGAAAGTGAAAAGAAGCCGGAAGGAGGACGTGGTGCGTCATTATCGGAAAAGGAAAAGGGCATAAGTTTACCAGTCTCGCCAGCCCAGGCTCGCTCGTTGAGATCGCGGAGTTCCCCTGTATGTAAAGGCGGCGGGTTAGTCAGTCGTATCTTGGGGGAGAAAAGCTGTTCTGGTGAGGTTTACGCTTTCGGTGATGATCCATGGCGTGGCCGCCGGTGCAATGTTCTCGGTTTATGGTGGGTGGGATGGATTTCAACTATCCAGAATTCCTTTCAGCGAGTGGGAAAGGAGGGCGCATAAGTGACTTGAACGCCACATTGGGGAGAATGAGAGGGAGAAACTATTTTGGGGCGTCAACGTCAAGGGAGAAGTGAAAGATTGCAAAGTTGAGAGTGGCTGACGAAAGTTGCAGTGAGTGACGGACCGAAGGCGGAGGAGGAGGAGGGCGGAGGGGGAAGAAGGAAAAGCGGCTTGGATGATCGTCTTTCTCTTTTCTCCACTCATGGCGATAACCAAAGCGGACTATACAACAGCCAATTCCTACTACTCTCTTTGCGCATAACTTTGTTGCTGTTTTTCTTCACTATCATTACTGAAGTCAGAAAACCTGTGATAACAATCATACTCCTATGAATTAAAGTTAACCTGCCCCCGCCAGCGACATCATCTGGCAATCGTGCCCCGTATTTTTCCCCGCATCAGCAGTCAGTTCAGCACAGATTCATGGAAGCAATTAACCAGTATACAGCAGTTATAGCAGATGCAGTAGACTTTTGCCTAAACTAGCCGCTGCAATCTCCCTCCTACATACATCTGCATTGTGTGAGCTAATCATAAAGCCCATTCATCCGCATAAACCGATTCACTCACCAATCCCATGCTCAACCATCATCATCATCAGAAACATCATGATAGTCATAAGAAAAACCACCAAAACCACCCGCTATCATATTCATCGGTCGCCCATTCCCTTCACCACCCAATCCAACCTCCACGAACCCGATTAGTAAACCCCCGCTGGCGCCTCCGAGAATCCGGGCCTGTCTCCCTCCTCATCCTCCAAATCCAACAACCGAGTCTGCAGCTCATGCTTCTGGTCCTCGTTGCTCCAGCTCTGCTGGCGAACCACAGGCGGTTTCCAGGGCTTTTCTGTCCTTGTGCTAGTGGGACCGGCGGCTGCACCCAGATCAGCCCCGGAAGAGGAGGCGATACCGGAGCGGTCTGCTGTATTGTCTGTTGGGGGCTGGATGACGTCTGAGTCGGGACGATTCGTTCGGGATTTGTTGATGGACATTTTCTGATGGTCTTTCCCTTGTGTAGTTGTTCGGTGGGGATGCGGTAGGAAGATGTAAAGGGAGGTAGGTAATCAATTGTAGAGGTGGAACTTTGTGGTCGGGTAATTTTGTTCGATAGGTGTGTTGGAAGTGAGCCAAGTGTAGTTGAGAGGACTGGGGCGAGATTGAATGAATTTAAGAGGAGAGGAGAGAGAGAGGGTTGCGTTTTAATGCAATGATAGCACCACCCTTCGGAATGACGTCTCCTGTGTGGCGGTGGCTTTGCTTCTTTTGTGAGACGATAAGAGACAAGGCGATGGCAAGAACTTCGGCGATCAGAAGAAAAGTTCTGGGATCTTTGAGAAGGGAAGCAGAGTAGAAAGAAGAGGGGGAAGGAACTGGCCACCGCTGTTGGGGAGGAAATCAACGTCACTTCCCGGTCTAGAATGTCTAGAATGAGGGGAAGTAAGTAGTACAGAAAGAGGAGGTCCGGGGAGGTACGAGAAGCTACTTTATGGTCCACCTGATTCCCTCTACTAGAGCTTGTACTGTACATACTCTCTCTCTCCACTGTTCGTATCGCCACATTATGCAATTCGTTCATTCAATCATTCAATCCTCACGCAGACCTTCGAAAAGTGCCTCTGCTCATCCATATACCGATAAGCCTCCTCGACCTCCTCAAACTCAAATACCCTCTCATCGATCGCCGGCTGGATCCGATGTTCCTCGATGAACCGGTTCATCTCCTCAAACTGCTGTCTCGTGCCTAGCAGAACTCCTCTTACCGTACACAAGTTCACAAGACAGTCGATCAGAGTATTGACATTCGAGTCTGGGGCACCTCCTAGCAGACCTGTCATGGCAATCACCCCCTCCGGCCGCACGGCCTCCAGCGACTGGCTCGCAGTCGACAACCCACCAACGTCGACCACGAGATGCACACCCTTCCCGTCTGGCGTCAACTGTCGCGCAGACTCTCCCCACCTGGGATTGCGCCGGTAGTTGAGCACATGGTGCGCGCCCAGAGCTTGGAGGCGCTGTGCTTTGGTGTCGGAGCTGGTCGTGGCGATCACGGTGGCACCTGCTGCTACTGCGAACTATATAGCATTCAGTTCAATTCATCGAGCCGCCCAGAGAACAGGAAAACAATGAGCAGGCTAAACGCCGGGGAGAAGACAGTACCTGCAGAGCAATAACCGATACCCCACCTGTCCCCTGTACCAACACAACATCCCCCTTCTTCGGTGCGCGCGACGACAGCCCGAACAGAGCATTCCAGGCCGTCAACGCCGCGCACGTCAACGTACTTGCTTCCACAAACGACAGACTGGACGGCATTTTCACCAGCGCGGTCTGATGGAACACGGCGTATGGACGCAGCGTCCCGTCTATCCTCTGGCCCAGTCCACTGCCGATGTCCGCGAAGGTGGCCGGCTCGGATTTAGGCTTGTGCGGCACCATGTATGTGCAGACTCGGTCCCCGGGTTGGAAGGCCTGTACCTGAGGCCCGACACTTTCGACGATGCCGGCACCGTCAGATGCAGCTACCACATTGGGGTTGATGACGAGGGAACGGGCGCCCTGAGCGGTGGACAGGAATTCAGCTATTAATTGTCCGATGGCGGAGGGGAAGAATAGACTATAAGAGATGAAGGACAGTGCATACCTTGGCGATGGCTAAGTCTCGGTGATTGAGCGACGCTGCATGGATGCGCACCAAGACGTCATGGTCGCCCAAGGAAGGAACGGATTTATCATCGATGAGTCTGAGACTTGAGAGACCTTGCTGGCCTTCTAAGATCCAGGCCCGGGAGGCGTACATTCTGGCTTTCGAGTAGTTTCAGGAATGTGACTCGGGAATCAGTACGCCTTCAGATGGGACTCGAGAGATACGACGACTCTCAAAAACGGGGGAAGGACCCGCATAAAACATCTTTGCAGCCATTGGAATTGAGGGAACCAAATCAGGAGAACCCTGGATTCAAATGGAAGCTGGCGGGCGGGCTGCACATTTTCGAGTCTGCCATTGCCATGATGTGGGGACCTTGAATCATGCTGATGTGCCGGCAAGGCAACACCAAAATGGCAGCACGACTCAATGGATTCCATGTGCCGAAGTCTAGAGACAGAATTGACCAATCCGAGGGCGGGCAGTGGAGAGTGACCGTTGACCCGGGCGGTTGAAGTTCGGATGCATTCCAGTTTGTTGGGCGGCTTGCAGCAATTTGACCCACAACAGAGGTCTTTCTTCATCTCTTCAACCCCCAAGTCTACGTGAGTGAGGGCGGAATCAAGGTGGACGACTAGAGGAGCAGCAAGCTCGAGCTCGAGCTAGGGGTCTTCATCCACCGCAACCGCGGTAACCAGCGCCGTCCAACTACGCCAAGTTGATGTCGTCACCCGCAAACCGAACGAGAGATAGTCGGGCCACGCTCGAGGCTTGAAGCGAAGTCCTCTTTGCAGCGATCACTAACATGTCGATGAAAATCAGTGACACCTGCCAGTCCACGGAACTGGGCTGGAAAGTGATCGGTATCGACATGTACGGCAACGCCTTGAGCGTCCCGCGGGGCTGTTCCTGACCGGTGAGCCATCCCACCGACGAGACGGCCTGTGTCAGCCTGGTCATCGACGAGGAGCTGAACTTTGTCGTCACGAGCGGCTTCATTCCTGGCTGGGTTCATCCGACAACGGAATGTTTCTGCCTTTATTCCGGATAGGATGACTGCGGCGCAGGAGGCTCGGGATGTATGGTACGAGGAAATGGTAGCCAATGCTACTCTGCCTGCGCTGGCGCCTATGGAAGCTACCTGGAATACTTCTGAGGTGCTCCAGTTCTAGGGCTATTAACTCCAGGTTATGCAAATTAATGTTTCTATGAAATTAGTACAATGACTTGACGATTACGGCTCCCTATGCTTCTCCAGCGAGTGGTCGAAAGACGACCGACGCGCAGTATCAAGACGCCTGGACGCATTAGAATCCAACGGACTGCGCATACCCTTTAATAAATCCAATGCAGACGTCTGGCACTAAACACGATAACAAGCACATCCTGGAGCTTCAGGTGGTTCCCATGTCCTTCCAGTATTTGACTGCTCAAAAATTAGCCTCGGATCAGCAGGCCACTCTCGACTTGGTTGATTACTCGTTCTGTCTTGATACAGCCCGGGGGGTGATAACAGGCTGCATGAGGATCTTCTATTTAGGACTTTCTTGTACATTGGTGACGCACACGACCTGGATCTCGCCAAAAGCCCCAATTTCGAAACATATCAGCCCTCGGTAGCAGCAGGGATAAGGGAAACCTTCTACCTTTTGCAACGAGAGTTCAATGAAATGAAATCAAGGGTCTTCCGAAACATCGCCTTGGTGGACGAGACAAACTGGCCAACATTTGTGGCTGACACTACAATAAAGGATCGCAATGAAAGAACTCTAGGCAGCTACTGCGGTCTGGAATTATCTCAATGACCCTGAAGTGTAGGAGTCGTTTGTGGATCATGCCAACAATTTTCGAGCAGTTTTCGAGCGTATGGATGAAAGATTGGACGACGTCCATGGTGAAACAACAGCGTTTGCAGGCGCCTGGAAGCAATGGAGGAATGGCTATCTCGACTATCAGGTGGAGCGCAGTTCAGCACCATGGTTCCGCCCCACGCCTCCGGCCAATAGTAGTAGAGAGCGTTCTTAAACCCCCGTCTTCGTGATTCTCCCTGCTTCAGTCCGTTCCGTCTTCTGGTCCCCATATCAACAACAAGATGACGGTGACCATCGATAGCCTTCCTGCAGAGCTCCGAAAACAGATCTCCCTCTTGGTAAGCCGATCATGAAGACAGACGAGACTCCTGAATAAACACTGAGAAGACCTGCCAGGTCCTTGATCATTCCTGGCATGATTTGTCTGCCCTAAGCCAAGCCAGTCGGACCTGGCACAACGTTGCGGCTCCTCAGCTATATATGGACCTTCGCATCAAGTTCCACGATCTGACAAGCTTGCAACATGATGTCTCTGAGTTTTATACCGATGGCCTTGGGCGGCAGTACCTGCGTTATGCCCGCAAGCTTGATCTTCTTTGCCTTGCAAAACCAACGTGGATAAATACTCAAAAAGCCAAAGATCTCTGGAAGCAGAAAAACTGGTACAACGAATTTATCAGCTTCAAGCCACGAGCTGCGGAGGACGGCTTTCTCTCCGGGATATTAACTGAATTTCATGACAAGGATCTCCTCTTTCTCCGGTAGACGGTTGATGAGTACCCACAAAACGAGTGGGAACCTATCCTCGCTCTGATCCGGCGGCTCCAGCATCTTAGCGCTTTTAACTATGTGGTGGTGAACACATTCCCCACGGTTATCCTCAAAGCACTCCAACAGTTCCACCCCACTTGTCGCCTGAATATCTGGACATCCCAATGCCCTTCTATCGATATTGATGGTCTAGGACGCTCCTGTAAGCTGGTGAGGAAGGAGGCTCGAAGGCCATTTGATCTCCGCATCCTACGCGCACCGACACTCCACACGCTGAAGGTAGTTTACACGATGGGGTTGCATCCGCGAGAATGGCGATGGATACACCTCGACGAGCCCATGCCACTCATCTTCACTGCCCCCAATTTAAAGCATTTGATCATCGACGACAAACGCGAAGGCCGTGACAATCCAATCGAGATAGTGAAAGAGGAGTGGGAAGACTTCATCTCCTTCTACAGCAAGCTTGTCCCAGTTGCCCCGGCCACCTATTCCCTCGAGTCCCTGAGTTTCCGAAGTGACGGTGCCGGGTTGGCTCAGGAGCAGATCCTGCTGCGCGTTTCCACCATTACCGACCTATCTCGACTACGGTCGCTGGAGATTGGGGTCTATTCGGAGCCAGAGCTGTTGGCGCAAGTAGCTGCGCGATTGACCGGACTAGAACGGCTGTACATCAAGATGGTCCCGCGGTCCAATGGGGTCCGTCGTGGGGTCGCTCCAGACCGCGAAGAGATGATTGCCGCCGTGCGGGCTTTCCGTCCGTTGAAATACCTCCGCCTGATCAGCCTGCGGAGCTTCTCATCCCTCGATCGGATTGTCTCGCACCACGGCCGGGCACTGAAAGGGCTGAGTTTGGAGGCCTCGTACCGCCAACGACAGCAACCTGACGATGAGGGCCACAAGTACCCCGTCAATGACGGCGAGCAGCTCCGGTACTTGGCTCGACTCTGCCCCGAGCTGGAAGAACTCCATCTCCCGCTGCTGCGCACGGGTGGCGATGCCCGCGAGTGCGATTTATACCGGGCAATCGGCCAGTGGAGCCATCTCCGTCAGGTCGTTCTTGACTTGGACTGCGATCCGCGGGTTGCTGGGGTGGCCGATGAAAGAGACGTTCTGGGTGACCTCACGTGTCTTCGGGAGATCCTCCACAACGCTGCCATCGACGAGGCGCTTGCCGCAGGCATCTTCAAGCTCATGTGTTCCGGTCAGGCTAACGAATCGCTCAAGCAGGTCCGCGTCAATCTCTTGTCACTTGGGATTATTTTCCCCCAGTCACTGGTCAACGTTCTCCGGCAAATTAGTCAGTCGTTCCTCGTCACCCGGCCTGGGTTACCGCCAACTGCGGAACTGCAAGTCCAGGCGGTTGGGACCGTCGCGTGGCAGCTGTGGCATGAATGGATCCTCGTTGACGACCCGTCCATGCGGACTCCGCCGCCGGTCCAACAGATACTGGAGGAGTGGTGGCCGCTAAACTCGGATCGAAATCGCAGTAAGAGCTGGGAGGAGATACCGCTGCTGGTTAAGAGCTTTCCTTTGGAGGCTGGTATTGAGCGCGACAGTGATGCGCGAGATAATAGAGGCAGCAGCATAGGAGACGCGAGCAGCTGAGTAGAAACTACCATCTGATCATCATGTACAGTACCTACTCGTCTTGTGACGGAGGCCTGGATGCCTGCCATTAATACAATATACCGCTAGACTTTGTATCTACTAGTTCAACTTAGTAGCCTCAATAGCACCATCATCAAGTCGAGCTATGAGCCTTTTTGCTCGGTGAACTGCCTTCCATTGGAACCACCCTCTCTTCATCAGTTCTTGATGTCTTTCACGGCTTTGTCTATTCAGAGATGGTATGATCCATTCTTCGTACGATGATCAATCCTTTTCGTCGGGGAGCGTAGTCCACTCCTCACCAGCCCAGCTAACCACCATTGCATCCAACCAGTGCGATTCACTCACCACCGGTCTATTTCCACGAAACGACCTCTTCATCGATTCAAGTTACTTTCTCTTGGTAAAGGAGATGAAATATGACGGATTGAGCTCAGATCTGCCGGCGCTCTCCATGCGCTTTTCTCAACTCCGACATTGCTCACTTTGTTGCATTGACTGCTCTAATGCTTTCCTTTCCTTCTCTTTGCTATCTCTTCTCAGAATGGCGAAACAAGAGGAGCTCAGTTAAGAGTCCTCAAATGTAAGCCTCTTAGGTAAAGTCCCTTCTTGAAACCGGAAACGGGTATACTGTGGATTAGGGCTGTCGATGTCATTTACCTTCCACAACACAAGGCTGAAACACAGTACTTGACTTCTCCTGCAGAACAAAAACCAGATTCTACCTGTTTCCTGTACCAACACTGCCCCTTCTTCGGTACGCGCACGACGACAGCCCGAACAGCCAAAGGGAGAGGGCGGATTTAACATCGATGAGTCTGAGACCTGAGAAGTTTTATCCCAGCACCTCGGGCATCCAGTCCTGTCAGCGACCAACGTCTCTCTCCCGACGATCCAATCAACCAACACCCTCGACCCAAGACAGAAGAACTTCTACACCGGCGAGCGCTACTTGGACCTCGATGACCCAGTCCTCCGTGAGGTACTTGTGCTTAGAAGCAGACCCAATCATAGACTACCAGATACGATCATCCTGCGTGTTGAGCATAGCGTCCGCGATCCACGCTCATGTCCCCACAGGGCATGACACTACACTATCGAATCAGACAGACATGAAAATACTCCGCCCGTCAAGACACGGACACCCCGCTCTCTAAAAGCAACAGACTCGCATGGATGGGATGGGGACACTGGCAAATAATACCGTTCGCATACATCGCAGCAGGCGCAGTTGTGTAGGGGCAAAAACAAAAAAAAAAGGGGGGGGTCCAACAAGGTTCGATTTCTCAAGATCGAACGGCTAAGTCTGTGGTTGTCGAGTCGAGCAATCCAGACTTGGTGGAATTGTATAGTAAATATCGAGTCTGTGGTGTACTGTACTCATTAGTCTGGGACTGAGGTGGGCAGAACTGTGCCAGTTAGGTACCTAAGAAAGTACCTATTCAGGAAGCCAAGTCTAATTCCAGCAACGCCTGTGCACCGTGGACATAAGAACATGCTACCATTCCAAGTAAAAGAAACAATTTAATGGGAAAAAATCCAAATCAAGCTCCATCCACCTTAGTCAGAGAATTCCATTTTCTAGAACAAAGACCAGAAAATCAAGGTTGATGCACGTGCTATGATGTACCGTGCATGCCCTGCAGCGGCCTACGAAGTAGTATAAACCCCTCTCCAGCCAATCAAAGTGCAGCATATATGTACAATCTCAAATGGTACGTTCCTATTGGTCGAATGACAACTATACCTTACCACACCTGAGAAAAATTGAATACCTTAGGAAGAACAATCGAATCAATCTCAGAATCCACAATTGTACTTATTCTGCTCCTGCCCGTCAATAGACAATCACTAAGTAAATAAAATATTGGAGCTAAATAATACTGTTTTGAAGTTAATTTGACTTACTAAACTTCAGTCACAACAATTAAACCAGCACAGAGAGATATTAATCCCTTTTACTGCAGTCTCTATTCCACTCTTCCCCTTGTATTAGGCTATTAGGCCCTCTAATGCATATACTATACACGCCTACGTTCTGCTGATGGCATCCCCACTCCCCATCCAACAAGATACCAGCTGAGTGGTACTAGGTCGTCCTCTCCCACCCTTCGGACCACACGTCTCCGAGTGCCACTGTCTGCTGTGAACCTGCAAATCGAGAGCCCGAATGAACTACCTCGAGCCCCAGAGAGCTATCATACAAGGGACGAGGGCTTGGGCGTAGTTTCTCTACTTTAATACCCCAGGACCCACCAGGCCTACACAACTTCCCATGGCAATACAAAACACACCGAGTCCTCATTATCAACTAAGCTTTTTTGTTCCATGAGAAACCTTTAATGTAACATACAAGTCATCAGAGGGGGGCATGGTGTTTGGATGCGAACAAGAAAGACAGAACCACACCAAAGAGACCGTTGCCAAAACAATGGAAACGAATCCTGACGTCTCAAAAGTCATCCATCACAAGAACCACAGCCTATTCCTCGACGGTTGAGCGGGACCATCCACATCCACACACACACACACATCACCAAACGAAAGACAGAGGGAAAGAAAGAAAAAGAACAAAAACCGCCGTCATCATACACCTTCATCAAACATGAAATAAACAGGGTATGCCCACGCCAACGCTATGCGAGTCCTTGTACAGAAACAAAATAACAGGGGGAAGAGGGTGGGGGGGGG